ACTTTTTCCTATATTTTCTGTTAATGGTCCTGATGTTAGTTAGTATTTGTTCTCTCTCTCAAGTCCTTTTTTGATATTTGGACATTTATAAAATAATGGACATGGAGTTAAAAGGATTCTTACAGATGAATGGATCCAACCTATTATCAATTGCCAGGAAATGTAAAGATTAGGTCGAGTTTTAATCAAATTATAATCTAATGCCACAGTAAAAATTATTTATGTATATATATACACACATATGTATCTTTCTCTCATATATGTGTATGTATATACATATATATATATCATATATATATATATGCATACTTCAATGTTGCAATTTTATTCTCTCTCTCTCAAAATACATTTCTACCCTCTGCTAATTGGCTGTGTGTGTTGAGAGGCATATATATATATATATATATATATATACACATATATATATATATATCTTGAGATACCCTCTTTTAACTGAAGTTAGATACCCTCTTTTAATGGGAAATATGAATTTATTCATTTTTATGGGACTCTATAACTCTGGAAATGTTTTCTTCACTGTAATTAACTGATAGGATCCTCTCTGCTCAGAGATATTCAATAAATGATTATTTGGTACAATATGGAAGGGTGGACAAAACTACCCAGTTCTTCAGACAAAAAGCATAAAAGAGATAGGTTTTCTGTCTGTGGTATGGGTGTCTCTGTTAAGTAAGTAGGTAGCTGGGCTGTGGATAATCAAGAGGATTTCAAGAAATGTAAGAAATACAGTCAGGCCTTTGTATCTACAGGTTCTGCATCCTTATATTCAACAAACTTTAAATCAGAAGTACTTGGAAAAAAAAAAAAAACTCCATCTACACTGAAAATGAACAGAGTTTTTTTTTTTTGTCATTATTCCCTAAACTTCAGTATAACAGCTGTTTGCATAGTATTAACATTCTGTTAGTTTTTATAAGTAGTCTAGAGATGATTTAAAGTATATGGGATGATGGGCATAGGTTACGTGCAAATACAATGCTCTTTTATATAAGGAACTCGAGCATCTGCAGATTTGGGTATATGTGAGGATCCTGGAACTAATTCCCCACAGGTGCTGAGAAACTACTCTATTTTCAATATTTTATAGGGTATCTATAACTCAAACAGCAATCATCTCATTAAATGAGAAAGTTGAATACTGATTTTATTATTGCTTGATATTTGCATTATTATATTGACTGCTAGAATTTAAAGTTAAAATCATCATTGTAGGCCCTGGGTTTAATCTGCAGCACTGTAAAGTAAAATAATAAAAATATTAATAAATTCAGTTATTCAATTGTCTAAAACCTTGTCATCTATGGAGGAAATGAATAAAATGATGTATGATGATACATATATATATATAATAAATATATGTCATAAATAGCTAATAATGTGTGTGTGTGTATGAACAAATTCTAAGGCTTAGAGACACCATAGAAATATTATCATAGTTCAGTAAGAATAACAGATGGCTTTTACTCTACTTAGATTAAGCTTCTTTGTCTTAAATGTCATTTTCACTATTGAAGGATATTAAGCATTTAGAATTATAAGTGAATTGAAAGAAACAAATTGTTATAATTAGAATGAGATATACTCCATGTTTGTATAAATGTATCAAAATATACTCTACTGCCATGTTTATCTAAAAATAACAAATAAAATTTTTAAAAATTGTGGAAATATAAAATAAAGTACCACCACCAACAACAACAAAAAAGAAACAAACAAATTGTGTGTTATGAAAGAGTGAGGGGTGTGTGGGATTATCTGTAATAGAGATGTCTTCCAGCTCAGTATATTCAGAGAGAATACATACAGAAGTAATGTTCAGAGCTGGGGATGTGGCTCAAGCAGGAGCGCACTCATCTGGCATGCATGCAGCCTGGGTTCGATCCTCAGCACCACATACAAACAAAGAGGTTGTGTCCGCCAAAAAAAAAAAACTAAAAAATAAATATTAAAATTCTCTCTCTCTCTCTCAAAAAAAAAAGTAATGTTCATTTCTAAAGTTGAGCAGATCCCAAATTTTCCATGTTACTTATTCAAAAACATAACTTACCTATTTAGGATGCAAGGGGTTATTAGCTAGCACAATTTTGTTGCCTGTCTTGGCTTTAGGAAAAGCTATTTGTACTTGGCAGGTGCCTGGTCTAGAATGCAATGCCTCTGTGCTTGGGTTCATTGTAAGATGCTAGGGACAAAAGAGTGAATAGCTTCTCAGGGACTGATTATTATTTTTTTTTTTTTAATAACAAAGAGGCCTCTTTGAAAACAAGAAAAAGCTCAGACACCAGCCCTGATGCTGTTACTTAGCAGAATTTCCTTAATCAGATTCTTTATTACCTGTTAAAATATGTATTTGGATTCTTCTTTGTAACCTCTTAAAGTGACACTAAGTTATTCTTGGTTTGAGGTGTTTATTTTTTTGTACTGGGGACTGAACCTAGGGGCACTTAACCACTGAGCCACATCCCAGCCCTTTTTCATTTTTTATTTTGATGCAGGGATTCACTAAGTTGCTTAGGGCCTCCCTAATTTGCTGAGGCTGGCCTCAAACTTACAATTCTCCTGCCTCAGCCTCCTGAGTCATTGGGATTCCAAGCTTGTGCCACCAAGCCAGGCTGAGATTTTCTTATCTTACTTGATGGAGACATCATCTGATAAGCTAGCTAACTACTATGGCATTGGACTCAAGTTATTTCTTCATTTAAAAAGAATAGAATATAACAGTAGAGTTTCTTTATGTCAGCAATGTTTGCCTATTGCATATTAACCATAGACATTAAAATTTGAACTATAAAACCACAGCATATAGAAGAGAGATTTAATAGTTCCATCAAATCAGCAATGTTTACCTATTGCATATTAACCATAGACTTTACAATTTGAATTATAAAACCACAGCATATAGAAGAGAGATTTAAGAGTTACATCAAATAGATAAATTTTCTCTGGTTTAGTCTTAATCACACCTATGCTATTTTGATTTAACTATCATGGTTAAAAGGAAACTTTTCTTAAATTAACAAGTTAACTAAATTATTCTTTGCCACTTGAAATAGCTAAAAATCTGTATAAAAATTTAGGAATGATTCCTATGATGTCTTAAAGAACTAATTTATTCAGCAGATATTTATTAATTTTTCTTTGCCAGGAAATTTTCTAGGCATTGGAACATACATGCAGAGTGAATATGATATACATTGTTGGTGTTCTCACAGAACAAAAGTCTACCAGAACATTAATTACACATGTGATAATAATAAAACTTAGAAAACACAACTTTAACATTCTAATTAGATGTATGTATAATATGTCAAAATACACTCTATTGTCATATGTATCTAAAAAAAAAACAAATTAATTTTTTTTAAGGAGAGCATAATTTTTTTTGAAATATAAGGGTCTGGGAGTGCCTAGCATGGACAGATGGGAAGACAATGACAGATTCTGCAACATGATACATTCAAACCTGAAGAAATAAATAGGAGTTTGTCACAGATGGGAGTGACAGAGAAAGGCTTATAGGGGAAAGAGGTCTTTGGGAGCAGGAACGCACAGAGTATAAGGGCCATGTGACCAGGATACAGTGTGCTAGGGGATAAGTGGCCAAACCTAAATCTAGAAAAGGAAGGAGGACCATACTGGAGGGGCTTCAAAAGCCATGGACCGTGTACCAGAAACAAGGAATCCATGGGAGGTTTTTAGCAGAGCAAAATAATTTCACATTTGTACTTCAGAAAATCCTTTTATCAAGAGTGTGGACAATGGATTAGTGAGAGCAAGAACCAGAGCCATGAAATCATTGCAGTTGGCTTTTGGCAGCAATAGATGTAAAACTGGGCATGGGCCAATGGGAAACGAAGGGCTGAGGATTCCTGTGCATGGGCTGTACTTCAGGTTTACCTTATTTTCTTTGATTAGTTTTGTTGGATTTTCTTAGAAATCCTGGGATGACTAATGTGTGGCCTTCGATGTGGAGATTCCCTACATTTTTTTGAGACTGTGATAACTGAATGCTACATTTTGTATTTTACCTCTTTTTTTTCATCATTCAAAGCACTTTGCAAAATTATCCTCAAAGTGTTTTTATAAATCATGCAACTTTTATTTTAAATATTTATTCACTGAAGTCTTTTTTACCAGAAAGTAATTTTTTTAAGTGTTTTCCTTCTCTTCCCCACTTAGTTCTAGTCTAGAAACACTGGTTATTGAGAGCACACTGGTTACTGAGTTACCCTCCCTGTCATGTCACATCAAATCAACACCTAAACCCTAATTCTAAATGGACTCACAACCCCTCCCACGCAATTCATGACCACGTGTTAATTTTGCATTCAAGTCCCAGATTTGTCCCATGATGAATTCAATTAAACAACTACCTCATGAATGCAAGGGAGAAATTGTAAACCCAGAGCAGACAGAACCATACATTTTAAGAGGCAAGAATGAGAGTCCGTAACCCATGCCGCATGCTTGATCCTTGAGGAGTGGTACTATCTATGGAAGTAGGTGCTTCCTTTTTATTTATTTATTTATTTTTATTAGATCAGAGCAGTAGTGGGTAATTCTGCCTAGTGGAGGAATTGTTTCATTTTTTTTTTTTTCTGTTTCATACTTATTTCCAGAGCACTTTCCTTCTTGCCAATCTATAATTTCTCCACTACCAGAAATTCTTCCCCTCCCTCTAGCCAAGTAATGATTGACCATTATATTTTTAAAATAAAAGAAAACTTATCTCCACTAGTGTATTCAATGGAGTTGACTGCATTTGCCAGACTAATTATTTCAAGCCACAAATGGCAACACGGTGCCCTAAAATCAGAAGACCTGAGTACTTGGGAATGCTAAAGGCATTAAGGGACACCTAAAAGCAGTCTCTGGTTTTCCTACAATTAGGTAATTCTATGATTATCTGAAAAACATAAAGAAGAAGTGTTTTAAAACTACTTAAAAAATAAAACTTAGAAAAATCCAAGTATAACACTCACTCAGCTTTTTCATGCAGTCACGAAGTCTGGTTTCCAAGTTGAGCACCCTCTGATGTAGTTCCTCATAGTCATAGGCACCAATTTCTTCCTGAATCCCCGTGAGGACGGCAGACAGATTCCGAATTTCCTCCTTGAACTGAGTGATCAGCTTGGCATCTGTTTTGTACTGCTCCAGCACGGGAATCAAGGGCAAGAGCTCATCCATCTTCTCTTTCAACTCCTGTGGGAAGCAGCAATTGTTCCTGAGAATTGTTTAAAGCAGATCAAGCAGCTCCAGTCTTTTTATTATGAAACATAAAGGAGATTATTAAAACAGCTTCAAAATTCCTTAATGATTTCTGCTTGAAACTAGGTATTTTCTGAAAATCTAATTGGCTCCATGATCATTAGTAATAAATCCACTTATCTTGCATTTCTCATACAACAACTGCTCTTTAAATGGCTACATGCTCTTCTACAAAACAAATTGATACTTATCATAATTAGAAAAAAATAACTTCCTAAGGTAGCAATTATGGGTTTTTGTGTTATCTCGCTCTCTGGTAGCATTTTATAAAGTAACAATGCATCATCTGATTAACAAATAGGAACAGGATCCATTCTCTAATTATGCATGAAGTTTGAAGGAAATTATCAGTCAAATATCTTAATACTAAACTTATTTAAGATTAATTATCTACCTACTTAGTATCCATGATGTAGGAAGACAGCAGGAAATTTTGGATTCAGGATCAACTTTTTCCTCACACTTAGATTTTTTTCTAATCATGACTTATTTATTTGTTCATCCTTTCATTGTTCTCAGGTATCCCTAGCTCATTTTAATATCCATCTTAGTACGACTTCATTAGGAAGGTAAGTTCAGCAAGTATAATAAATCATGCAAAGCTTCCCAAAGCTCAAAGAAATGTAGGTTGCTATTTACCATTTTGAATTATTGCCTATTCTCTGACTCCATTTGTCTTAGCATAGATAATTTAGAGGTCTTCATGTAAGGTAGAATTGCCTACCCATGAAGTCATTAACTCTTTAAGGGACCATGGTACATAATTTATGTAACAGAAAAGGAAGTTTCAGAGCTGTTAGAATCTTTCTCTCTTTCACAAACACATACCATATCTGCATCTACCCCTGAGTTATATCCCCAGCCCTATTTTTTTATTTTGGGGACTTACTAAGTTGTTGAGATTGTCATCAAATTTGCAGTTCTCCTGCATCAGCCTCCCAAGGTAGCTGGGATTATAGGCATGTGCCAACAAGCCCAGTAAGTTGTTTAAAACTTAAGTTGAGGTTTTCCATTTATCTTTGTGGAGGCAGGGTCTTACTGTGTTGCCCAGGCTGGTCTCAAACTCATGGACTTCAGCACTCCCCTTCCCACCCCTACTTCAGCCTCTGGAATAGCTGGGACTACAAGTGGATGCCATCAGAACCAGTTTTAAGCATTGGTTTTTAACAAGAGAACAAGAAGTATATTGTCAAAGCAGTGTCCCTTATGCCTAGGCATCACAGGTCAGTAATTTCACCTGAAATTTCTAGATGTGCCACCTTAACTTTTTCCCTTTAACTTGATGGTAGTAGTCAACAAAAATATTTCAGGAGTTTAATTCAATTGTGAATTTATTGCAGATGATATAATTTGTAAAAAGAGGTCCCATTCATGATTGTTTGAAAATAATACATAGGGACTGTCAGAAATCATATTGTATACTAAGAAGCTGAAAATTGTATTTTAAAATAATTTAGAAATGTCACTATTATAAGTGCATTGAAATAGCAGGAGCTCCCATTGCTTCCCTGATTTATGGGCTTGTGTTTCTTGTGTAGAAATTTCTACTTGTTCTATAAATTCAGAAATTTTTGATTTGTGTACATGTACGTGCTAAGTGGGAGGGTAGAGAATCTTAGTAATGAGAAAAATGCATAAATATTACAGTCAAGAAGCAGAATCATGGCTTTTCTCATTTTAGTGGATCATTTTGAAATAAACTTATTAGTTCAAACATTTTGTGGCAACCCTAAAGGGAGATACAATTGTTTCATTAGGCTTTTAATGATAAGAGTTCTGTTGGTACTATTTGCTGCATATTATAAAAACTATTACAATCAGTTTTTACATCTTACTATGGGCATATTTAAAAGAGAGCAATTCAATGTTAAAATTTTGGTAGCTTTTATTCCCTCCTGAATTAAATAAGTATTTTTATATTTTCAAAACTTTATAATTAGGTTTTGGCAATCAACTTTGAAACTCTGGAAATTTATCAGAAAGCAGTAGAGTGTCCAACCAATGCACATATCAAATATATAAAAGATTAAATTATAGTACCCCTGATCTATGTTTGCTAATCCTATCTCAAATTTCACTTTCTAATATGTTGCTCTCACAGTAACAGAATATCTTGCCAAACAACAATCTTGTCCTATAGGAATGATAATGTCATGTTTGATGGCCAGCTCAAGCTTTTCATCCAGAAGACCATAGAAGGAAAAATCAACCTAGGAGTTTTGATAAGATGAAAGTGGTGCATCAGAGAAGGGTTTTTTTTAAAGGTATTTTTAAAAGTTAATCTTGATTTTGGACCATTCATTTCTTCTTCTTAAATATGGTACCTCAACACCTAAGGCAAAATCTGACTCACAGTGGGACTTCCTGAATAAATTCAACAAGCATGTTGAACACTTAATTATTATTGTGATTTTCAATTTAGACAGCTTAAGTTTACTTGAAGAGGTACTGTACTATTAGCAGCAAGAGCCATGAACCTGGACTTTGTCAGTTCAAATCTTTATTCTGATAGATGACCCTGAAAAAATTACTCAACTTCTTTATACAATATAACCAGATGGGAACAAAAAATAGTGATTACTTTTCAGGATTATTGTGAGGACTAAATTAATTAATATATTTAACATGCTCTCAACTGTGTCTTGAATTGTATGATTGTTCAGAAAAACAAGTATTGCTGTTATTAATACTGCTATTGGGTTTTTGAAATTTAATTTCAGCATATGTGTGGTTTATACAAACAAAAAAATACAAGTCATTATATCACTTGATGCTCCTGAAAATTAAGTATTTCTATTGGCAGCCTGGTTGCTGCTAGGTAAATTATATACTAAGAAAATTATTTCTATGAATTTCCCTCAGCTTTGCTCCTTTGTTACCAGTCTTCTCGCCAAAGGTATAATATGCTTTCTCACGCATCCCCAGTTTTGTCAACCCAGATACCTTAAATTGTCCCTTGGATTCACAGAATTCTCACTGCATCTCCATCTGTGCCAGACAACCTGAGCTCCTCCTCTTCTGTGTGCTGCTCCTTTCTGGAACTGTGCCCTCTGCACCTGAAACACCAGCTTACCATTTCCTACTTTGTTAATGACCTCACCTTTGGATTCCCATTATTGTTCTACTATGTATATCCTAACTCTGAGCGTCAAAAGTTGAAATTGTAAATCATTTGATCTTCTTGATTCCCTTTATAATTTAAGATTTTTTTTTTTGTCTTGGGGTAGGGGTAGTGTCACTTCTGCAACTGCTTTCTTGAATACTGCCAAATCTTATAACTCTTCCCCAGATCTTCTCTAAACAAAATCATCCACTTTTCCCTTGTGCTCTAAAGTGATGCTTATGGCTCTGTTAACCATCAGTTTCACTTGACTCTCAGCTATCTTTGGTTGAAGAGGGACCATGGATTACACATCCAACACAGAATCCAGCACTACCTTACACAGTGTGTGTGATCAATAAATTAGGGTTAAATTTTATTCTTTTGCTGCTTAGGCTTATATTCTTCTATTGACCAGTTCTCATAAATTCTCTATTCATCCAGTTCACACTTTTATTTCTTATAATCTTTAAATTTATTTTATCCCCTAGGTCTTGTTTGAACTTGTTCTAAGTTTTTAATCTTCTGAGTTTGCTTATTTCTTCAAAGCAAATCCCACAGTTCTTCACTTTAGTTTCAACTGTCAGTAACCTCAATTTGCTTGCCCTCCTTTCTGTCTGTTGTGACTTAAAATTGGCTCAGTGTAAAACTTGTGTCATCTACACCTTTCCTTATAAAATCTCAGGAGGAAATTCCAAATCATGAGTTTCTGCCACATGAAAATGTGCTCTGCAGGGACCCTGTTGTATGTCCCTGGCTAGTTCCCCACTGTTCTTTCTTTGACCAGGTGCTGGAACTCAGTTCTACCCTCCTAGCATTGTCAGTGAATATCACTTTCTAATGTGTAAGAAAAATTAAAGCTGTTACCTGGGCAACCACAATGTGTTGTATAAACTTTTATGCTATGCTTTCATAAGGTAGATTACTTATTTTTAATATAGGCTCAAATGGCTTTATCAGATCCACTTTGTTTTTTAATTTAATGCTTAAAACACTCCTTTTCTCTTTTCAGTGTTCCTAGGTAATGGCCAGTTAAAATCTAAAAAAAAAATAATAATAATAAAAAGACTTTGTATAAAACAATTCTCTTTTAATATGCTGGTTTGAATGAATGGTTTTATAATTTATCTCCTTTATATTTCTCCTCATATTAGCAAGGCATTAAAATCATCAGAAAAATTCTGATAATTTATTGATTTTTCCTTAGACTTTCCCCTTACCTTAGCTATTGAAGTGCCTGTAAATCTACCCAGAAACTCCCCCTAGCTCAAGAAGAATGAGGCTTTTATTTATACCAGCTAATGGTCAGTTTTAGTGAAGAGATGATTGACGTCCCCAGTAAATCTTTAACCTTGCACCTGTGGCCCAACACACAATTATTTCTAGCTGAGTGCCATGCTGGCTGTCTATGGCACTCAGTGTCTCCTTTGGATTGACAAGACTGCAGAAGTCAAACCTACTTGAAAATGCTTGGTCATTAGTGTCTTCCGATCATCTTCAATCTGCCGAAACTTGGCCTTCAGGCCTTTCATTTGGGTTTCCATTTTTAAAACATATTGGAAATCTCTCTGAGTTCTCAAGTTTAAGACTTCAATAGACTGGGACATATTCTGAACCTGTTGAACAAAAATATTGGTGTACATTATTGTCTGTCTGTAAGTATATGCAGTCACTACCCAACTACCCCAAACAGCATTAACCTAAAGAACTGGAAGTGTCAAGTTCATAATGGTGTTTCCACATGTCAAATTTTCAGAAAGACCATCCTCCATGAAAAAAACATTCAAAGAATCCAGTAAGAGAAAATTATAACTAGAAAGTATGTAAAAGAAATGCATATTTTTGCATTAGAAATGACTGAATATAAATAAGTATTTAATATATTAGAAAATAAATTTTAAAATTGAATTGTGGTTTTTATAAGCTTTAAACAGCCCAACCTAATATATGGAAAATAAGTTGTTTCTGGCTAGATGCAGTGGCACATGATTTTAATCCCAGTGACTTGGGAGGCTAAAGCAAGAGGATCACAAGTTACAAGCCAGCCTCAGCAACTTAGGCCCTAAGCCACCTAGCTTTAAGATCCTGTCTTAAAATAAAAAAATAAATAAATAAAAATAAAAAGAACTGAGGATTTGGCTCAGTGGTTAAGTGCCCCTGGGTTCAATCCCCAGTACCTAGATAAATAAATAAAAGGTGTTTCTGTATTAATTCTGACTTCTTAAATATCAGAGATGCTTAGCAATTATGGATGGTACTCAAGTTTCTAATAGACCTAAAATGCAATCATTCCAGTACAGTTACTTCTGATGGATCTGAAGTACTCCCAGGAGTGAGACTGAATTGACCAGACAATTGGTAGCAGTCCTGGACACCTTCTAAATTGGTTAGCATACTGCTTAAGGGACCTGGAAAATAGCAAAGACATCAATTGCTTGGTGGACAAGTAGTAAATGCATGATAATCTGAGGGCACCATCTCAGGTTCAAGGAGTTCCGGGTTCTAGAGAAGTAGAAATAGGTGACCCACAAAGCATGCAGAAGTGAGGAGGGAGAAAGGCTGCCCTAATTTTAGTAGCAACAAAAACCTGAAAACAAAGGAAAAGCTTCAAATCGTAGGGAGCTGTAAAGTGAGTTGAGAAATAGAAAATGGATGAGCTATATCATAAAGAATACAGTAGGTCTCCACACACGTCTTGCTCCGAGCATCATCTTCAGAACTACAACTTTGGCATCACCTGGGAGCTCGACCTATATGCAGAACCTTGAGGCCTATCCTAGAGCTACTGAGTTAGAATCTGCATTTTCTCAAAATTCCCAAGTGCATCCTTAGAGCTTGAGAAGCACTGCTTATTACTCATCCCAGAGGCATTTCCATGAGAAAAGCAAAGGTACAGATCTTCACATAATTTGATCCATTTATTCTAAATCGAATACACTTATAAAAGAAAATAGGCTATATAAGGAAAAAAATCATGAAGAAACATATAGAAGGATTAGAAGAATATATGTTAGGTTATTAATATTAATTATTTGGGGAAAGGAAAGACAACAAATACAGAGAAAGATCTCTGGGTTACACATATATGTACATAATACAGATATAAGTCCTTTGCCATAGAATTATAGATTTTATTTGCAAAAATGAACATATGAAATTATGGGCACAAAAAAAGAGATAGGATTTTAAGCAATTTTTACTTTGTTTCATATATTTGTATGTGGATTCATTTATTTTTTAATGAATATGCATTATTTAATCAGTAAAATGTGATTTTTAAAAAAAAATATGTGAATTTCAAGTGAGTGATTTGTTCAGAGACATATTTTTGCCATTAGGTATAGTTGCAAAACTCAGTGCACCAGCCTGCTGTAAAAAGCCCCTGGTTGATCCATTTCCTTACAACCACTATGGTCAGGAAAAGCAGCGAACTCTGTGTCTTGCCCTGTCTGTTTTTTTCCACTTTTCTATGTCAGACAAGTCAATTTACCTTCTCTCTCTCTTCTGCTGTCTTGATTCATGGTCTTGCCCTATATGAATCCTGTCTCTTCAGGACATATCACAGTCTGGCTTATATTAAAACTGTGTAATGTGAGTCTGGGACCCAGCCAAGAAAGTGGCTCTTGCTCCATGATCCCCTGAGGTTAGAAGCTGTGTTTTACCCATATCTTTTACTTCCAAGATGTTTCACAAAACCAGAGACAGAATAAAAGTGCTCAATAAATATCTATTGAGCAAAATTAATTTGGGTTTTCCATGGTAATAAAGGGTAATTAGGATCTTCATATTTTAAGGAGAGCCCCCCAGTCCCCCGGATCCCACCACTGGTTAGGCTGCAGCAGTACCTTAAACTACAAAATCACTCTTCATTCACTATAATTCTTATATTCAGAAAGCTTCATTTTTTTTTCTTTTAGTGCAGCACAAAATTACTGAGACAACAGTGAAAGCATGGCAACCCCATCATGGATAAATGTAGTGCTTTTAAAGTAATTTTCTAACTTCATTTATGGTTAAGCATGAATAAAGGAAAGCCATTTGTGGTAAGGAAACCGACTACCCATTTAAATACGACATTTGTCTGTGAAGATACCCATCATTAGTATAGCTCACATCCTCCTAAGAATTCTGTATACTTAGGCAGAGTACATGCAATTAGAAAATGATGGACAGCGAAGGTTTCCTGAATACGGTTCAAATAGCCTGTCTTTTATTTTACCTCAAGCTCACCTTATCAAGTTAATTTTCAATTTAATTTGTGTTGTGAGAAAATGCATGGAGAGAGTTTTTATTGAAACTTGATTGTAACTTTTGGTAGTGCACAATCATGTATAAGAGCTACATTTGGGACAGAGGTTAGAGATGGAACTGTCTAGTTGGACAATATTTGGTTGCCTTTACCTTTGCCTGTGGGCTGTATCCAGGATTAGTTTCCTACTGGTTATGAAGACCCACTGAGCATTAATTTTCTGATGACACAGGACACTAGATTCCCATTGGTCCACTTGTAGAAAGGAGACTGGTTTGCTGGGTTTCCTTTTCATTTGCTAGTCTCTGAAGTTGTTTTGTATTAACTTTCTGTACATGTCTCTATACTTACACCTTCTATATAAAGTTTGGCAAACCCATTGAGCCTTTCACAGATAATTCTTTTGAAATCTTTATCTTGATTCTTTGTATAAATAAGATATCTGAAGCTTTTCTGAACTTAAATGCAAATTAACTAACATTTTTACACTAATTCATAATTAGCACCGAGGCCACTTGAAAAAAAAAATACTCTGTGGATCAATATATTTGGAAAGCCTTAAGTTAAGAATAACAAGTCTTTTGATTGTGGAACTTCACAGAAACTTTATTGTTAAATCATGTTTTGGAAATCTTCAAGGTGAAGTGTAATATTCAGTGATTTTATTGGTGAGGATGTTGCCAACATCCTATTCCAAAATTCACACTTTTGGAAATACAAGCAAGACATCTTAACTTTACAGACATCTTCAACTTCACAGAGAAAATTCATCACTAACGAATATTTTTTAAGTGAACAATTTTGGTCCTGGCATATTAAGAACTGAAATATCATGAAATTAATATTCAGAAATATACATGTTGCTTGACAGGGCATCACTTAAATAAGTATGTAGACCACCAGCAGCATTCTGGGTGCTGCTAAGAAAATGAAACGGATCAAAAAACAAACAAACAAAAAACCACGGTTTCCTGGTTGAGTGTTTAACCTCAAAAAGCACAAGTTTCCTTTTTTATAAACTTGAAAAATAATTACCTCTTCTGTAAGAAGTAAATGAAGTAGATCAAAGTATAGTCTAAAACATAAAAATAATGGTAACTATTACTATTAACATTAATCTGTTAACTAAAATTCCCTTTTGTTGACTAAATCCATCTTGTTGGTTAATGGTTGAACAGGCTCCTTAAAGGTCATGCTCTTGGCCATAAATGAAAAAGAGAGTTCAGCAAAGGACTGGCTCAGTCTGAAAAATAATATTCTTTTCAGACATCTTTGGATCATGGCAGCGAACAAGTGCTCTGTCCCTTCTGCAGGCGATTGTAGGATAGCGCACGTAATTAACTGCTCCTCTTTTGGCAAAAAAAAAAAACTTACCTTATGGTAAATTCAATCAATCTAGCTTATGGTGACTTTGATTTTTGTCAATCAATTTTGTTTAATTTCTGTCATTAAGGTATTGATAAAGTGAAGACATGAGTATCATTAAGTTATTGATGAGTGAAGGAATGATCTTCTAGAATTTCTTTAAAACTTTCAGATGGACTACTTATTAGATGACGTGGTTTACATTAATTTTCATGACTGTTTTCAACCAAACTCCCACTCCTGCTCTCTTGCCTTATTCATCCTTCACTAATTTCTAATTCTGTCATATCTCTGAAATACATTTCACTTTGGACCTGTAGAGAGAATTATTCACTTTCTGACATTCATACTTTATTTGAAAGTTTTCAATGGATTTTTGAAGAAATGTTTGAGTCTATGTGTGACTATGTACATGCAGTGCTGTAGTGAATGATAGTAATACATAAGATGCTGAGAAACATTCTCTCAGGGACCATAACTTTCTCAGCATAGCTGATGTAGAAAGAAGATATTTCTGCCACACACTACAGTGCATGTATGTAACCTCAGTGACTCAGAAGGCTGAGATAGGAAGATTGAGAACCTGAGGCCAGTTTGGTAAGATCCTGTTAGGTAAGATCCTGTCTCAAAAAATAAAAAGGGCTAGATGTGTGACTACATGTAGAACCCATGGTTTTGATCTCCAGTATTGAGAGGGGGCTTGCTTGAAAGGAAAAAAAAATCTGTGTAGAAGAAAAGATTGGGATAAACTGTCAGTAATTTGAGTGGAAGTTTAATTTAATAAAAAACCAAACCAAAGTTAGATTTGAGATGAAATCATTTTCTAACATTATTTTCTGGCTACCCAAGCAAAATGAAATATAATACTCAATTTTTTTCATAGGAAAAAGAAAATCAAGATTGAAAAACGATATCCCCAAATAATCATAATTTATTTGTCATGACTTCTAACCAGTAAGAGGCACATTCGCTAGGTATTAATTTCAACAAAAATGACATGTTCTTGTCTAGGGACAGATACTGAAGGAGCAGTGAGAATGGGATCTTGTCCATAAAGGAGGCTTGAGAGGACAGAGTCAATAGGTGATGTTAGCTTCAAATTCAAGGGAAGGTGAAACAAACCAGGCTTTGTGTGAAAAACATGAAAAAAGTCTTCTTAAAATCTTAGAACATTGGTAGAGTTTGAAATGATGTACACAGAGCTAGCTCATCATCACTGTTTGGCTGGTGGAAGAAAGTTACTGTACCTTGCCTTGCAGTAATGAAGCCTTATTTGTACACTAACAAGCTAGATGTGTTTTCCCCCCAGCTTCTCTTAATTTTATGTCAAAACAGTTCCTATTCAATGCCATAAATGTGTGCAAGACCATGGAAATGATATTGCAGTCAATTGGTGAGCGTGATATCCTCTAAAACACATATTACCTAATCTATCTTAGTATCCCTGATGATATTTGAAATTCAAACATGTTGTCATCCCTGCCTCATTCTGACCACCCCAGCTGTCCTACTATATTCAGAGACCAGCACAGTGAAAGTCTGAATGGAGATAATTGAAAGAACCATTCATTGGGTTTTTCTCTCCCTAACTAAACATAAATAACCTTTCATGAGCTGACTTTTATCTGTAAAAGAGAATAAATCAAGGGCATTCTGCATTTGATTGTTATGGATCCATGGATCCGGTTTAAGTAAATTATGGAGAGAATGGTATTGAATGAAATTGAAGAGCTTAATGTTCAAAGGAATGACTTAGAGAATGATGATAAATACTCGGAATTATTCATTATCTCTCCAGATAGCTTGCATATTGCATTCCATTATTTTAACTTCCTTGCAAGATTGTTAATGGAATCCAAAAGTATGAGCTCAAAGAGTCTAGTGTGATCCTGAGAGTTAAGGCTGAATTTCTGACAGTGATAAGACTTCCTGCTGCTTTTTTTTTAACCCCTCTTTAAAGAGAGACTTACAGGATATTAAGACATCATGGTAGAAAGCCTGTCTTATGACTGAGAGGTTCGGAATGGTAAAAAGTTATAGAAATAGAACAGTATAGAAGGAAGCTTGAGATAACCCTTTCAAAGAGCAGAAAAAGCTGATTTGAAACGACAAAAATCAGAAGGATCTTCCTCACCATTTTCCTTTTCAAAGAATGGTAGATTTTAATTAAAATATTCATAGGGGACAGAGGACACCTACCTTTTCCAGGAGCTGGCGGAGTTGCCGGCTTTTGGCATCCCGGGAACATAGATTTTGCTCTGGAGCAACCACTGTACAAATGCACCGCCCATCGGGATCCTGCGCTGAGCTGTACACTTGCCACCCTTCTTTGGGACTAATCTGAGTCTGAGAAAACCAATAGCAAACACACAAAACACAGACTACTGTTACAAGATAAAGAGAAAGTGGGTTTGCAGCATATTAAGCAAAACGTTTGTTTTGAAGAAGTTTGTGTTTTCATCCTTTAAAGACAAGAGATTAAGCAATGTACACACACGCAATGCAGCCTCATTCAGTTATATCTTCCTTATCCATTTTAAAAGATCTGTCTTCTTCAGTTTCCATATTATTACAGATCTCCCACCATTTCCTAATGCCTTTTGTCATATTTTGACATTTTAATGAAACTTTAGAAACATCTCTAATCACTTACTCATGTATGACTTGTCTTTCTACACTAGATCTGGTAGCTCAGCCTTCTCAACAGTAAATGGCAATTCCTAATGCATTTCTTTCTGATTATTATTAATAAATGACATTCTGAAACAAAGCCCTGTCCTAAGGAACTTCTCACACATTAAAGACCTGATTATTGATAAAGTGGGAAAGATATCACATGATGACATAGGGTAAAATAAATCAACACCATTTTGCAAAGATCTCAGAGGGTTTAGAGAGGTTTTTTTCTTTCTTTTTTAATTTTCCTTTTGTTTCTTTTGCTGGGCAGAGTCTTCCAAGTTAATCTTCTAATAACTTTACGCAGTTATCATCTTGCCTTTCTAGCCTAAAGCAGTAGCATTCCCATTCTATTGCAGTGTGTCTTCTACTCATGTTTGTCATTTAACCTCCTGCCCAGTCCAACAGGACACTCCACAGTGGCCAGACTAGTCTGAGCATGAAGTTTAAACTTCCATGACCCCTCATGTCTTTGTGTGACGTTGCTTATGTTGTTCCTCCTGTTTGGAATCTTCCCTTATGAACCATGAATTTATTCAGCCCTTGTGGTTTCCACCCATTTTGAAGAATTGTCTGTGCTATTCCTTGGGCATTTAAATGTATATTTTACCATATTGTTATTTGCCTTTCACCTGCCTATGAGCAGGTATTAGAAATGTGGATATTTTCTATTGACCCTATATATACTCCATCAAGTACAAAAATAGCTGTCTTTACTTTTTGTCTAATTATTTATCAAGAATAACAGAAGATCCAAATAATGTAAATATCCAGGCATGGTTATCAATTACCCAACCTCAAGTATTTTGTTACCACAACAGAAACCAGACTAAGACACTAAGTATGCAGTCCTCCAGAAACATTAATATCAATAATAACTATAAATTAGTTCATATTGATGATCATTTTTCTAACTAAAGATTTGCGTAACATAATTAAGCCTGATTCCAAATCAAAACTCCTGTAGTTTAAGCAATGTACTGAAGTTGTGCTTTAAAAGAAACATTTAGGTTCATTCAGAATTAAAAACAAATTTTAGTCTTTAAACATCCACAGAAAGAAAACAAAATGGAATACCTGCTTACTAAAGGATACTTACTAGTGACAGGGTTCTATATCTTTAATCTCAGCTACTTGGGAGGCTGAGGCAGGAGGATCACAGGTTCAAGGCTGGCCTGAGTAAAATTAGTAGATCTTATCTCAAAATGAAATAAAAAGGGCTGGAGGTGTAGAATGCTCAGTGGTAGAGTTCATTTGCAACTCCCTTCATTTAATCCCTGGTACCCCTTCCCCCAAAAAAGACCACCAATGAACCTATTTTCATTATGTCACTGGAAGAAAGGCACAATGAGTACATTTGAAATTGTGTAATCTGAAAGTGTCTGTATTAACAAATTTGAAGGTTCATTTTTGGCTCTTAATTTTCTGCCAATAGTTTCCTTCATTAAGCTGGGAATATGGCTCTGTGGTAAAGCACTTGCCTAGCATGGGTGAGTCCCTGGGTTCTATTCCCAGCACTATAAAAAATAAATGAAGTCTATAAGAGGATGTGCATAGGTTTCATGCAAATATCATATTTTAAAAAATTCCTAGCATTGTACAACATAAGTTATTATAGATGCCCTGGTGCAGGACTCATTTCTATAACTGCTGGGTGTGACTCATTTCTCAGTTATTCAGTCTTTGGGGATTCCCTTGGCTGAAGAATGCTGCATCATCCAAGGTCAGGCTGCTTTCTGGGGACAGCTCATTTCCATTCAGACCAAGAAGCAGTCAAATCAGCAAGAAATATTATTATTCCCACTTCACAGAAAATACAATGAGTTAATTTTCCCGAGAACACACAGTCTGCATGTGGTGGCAGTAGGATGTGAAGCCAGGTGGCACATTCCAGAGAGGCACTATACAAGAGAAATATAATGAGAACCACATGTGTCACTGAAAATTTTCCAGTAACTACATTTTAAAAAGTCAAAAGAAACAAGTGAAATCAAATTTTAGTAACATATTTTAACTCAAGTGATCCAAAATGTCATGATTTTAACATGTAATTTTACAAAAATTGTTCATGAGATAATTCATATTGTCTTTTAAAAAAATATTGTAATAAGCGTTTCAATTGAGTGAATATCTTACACTTATGGTACATCTCAATTTGACTTGGCCACTTCTCAGGGTTCTATAGTGATAGCGACATGTGGCCTCCTTTATGGACAGTATATCTCCAGAGTCCTGCTTTTAATTCCTATGCTATGTCCATATATATATGGTGCTAAACATGCATATAGTTATTTTTAGAGATTAATCTTATGGTTATTGAAAAAGCCACCTGCCAGTCACCTGCCAGATGTTATATAGACAAACCACCCATTTTGTGTCTGAATTTGTTTTTCCTATGGAAATATGAGATAAATCAGTGGTCCACCTTCTGGCTCAATTCTGACCTTACTTATACAGTCAGAATCAGAATTTTTTAGCCTTCTAGCTTTCCTTCTGTTTCCTGAAAATGAGCAGATAGGGAGGAATTTCTCACACGCTCAGGCAAAGAGGGAGATGACTTCATTGTCTCATCTCCTGTTGTGTCCCGGCCCCAGCTCATGATGCACTAACTGTAGAATTACACCCACGTCTTTTTCTTTTCAAGGCTTTTAATAACTATGACAGGGTGCTATTGGACATTCTAACAACAATTATAAATGAATATTGGGGAAGCCCTAAACTAAAAACTCAAGAAACTCACAAAGATATCATAATCTTTGTCCTTGATCTATTATGAAAAGCCAATATTGCCTGACCTATCTTATTAGTCTCTTCTGACTTCTTTATATTTAATTCCTAGAAGTCTCCTATGCTACCTTTTATTCCCAAGAGGTCAGACTCATTAACATAACCTCTTTTTTAATATCCTACTCACCGTTTTTTTCCCCTTAGCATTTTTGCCTGAACTTCCGGTTAGAATAGAAAGGTATTCTTAGAATTAAATATTGTCAGAATTAGATAAGATCTTAAAAATCATTGGATTATTCTTTTTGTGTTACAGAAGAAGTCTAGAGATTATCTACATAAAAGCACATTAGCAGAGTAGTTTCAATGATACAATTAAAGGTTTGACCTGAGTACCTGGGCAGAGACCCTGTGAGTTTCTCCTAGCATTAGATACAAACCTCAAATATGTCATAAAATTAAGGCTTGTCACTAGAATAAATTTAGCTTTTGGATAAAGGGCAGGGGCCATCCAATTATAATATTAAAATATTTTAAAAGCAGTGCAAACACTGACTGTTAAGCCCAGCAGCATTAATATTGACATGTACTTGCCAAGTGTTTGGCTAACTTGGTGGAGCTTATCCTTAACAGGGTTGGGTGTCAGTTGCTCTCTGGAATGAGGCTAGAGGGAAAGGTGAATAATGTGTGATGTTCATTTAGCTTCCTACCTGAAGATCAGCTTAATAAAAGTGGAGTCTTAAGACTTGTTTGTACTTCCAATTGTCTTCTTGTAAGAATCACTAAAAAGAGACATGACCTTCTCTATGCCAGTTAGTTTGAAACTGAACTATAAAAAGTCACCTTTTTGGCAAGAAAAAGGTAACTTGAAAGAGGAAAAATCTAATTTAAAAGACAAGTTCCTGACAGTCCTGTGGATTTTGATAGAGACCTCTATGTTGAGGTCAGCAATAAATAGAGGAAGCTTTATGAACATTTTGAATGCTCTGTTTTAGGTCACCCATGCTGACATTAAAAAAAGAAGCAAAATAAAATCAAGACCTCAGATGGAAGGATGTACTTAGATGTTTTTTGGATACGTATGAGAAAAGATCTGCTCCAATTTTAACATATGAGAGCAATTATTCAGGGGTAAATAAAACTCACGTAATAGTGAGATTGGCATTTTTGTAAATCTATCAATTTTTGGCAATTCATGCTTATTATTGCCTTAAATATCTTAATACTCCTGTGGACTAGTTGATGTTATCCTGCCCATTTTACTGCTGAAGAAACTGTAACATAGAGACAGGAAGAAACTTGCTTAAGGTCATAAAGGGGGTAGTCAGAAAAACTGGGGTTTGTGCTTTTATACAGTCTGACTTTAGAAGATGAAGTCTAACTCCCATAATGAACCACCAATAATTTCAATTCACCTGAACTTATGATGACATAGAACTTTAGACCAATTTCAATACTATTGCGAAGCTCAGTACTTGGAGGGTGCATATAGTTTATTACTACCTACAGCATTACCGATCACAGTGATTACTGATGCAGCACTGTTTGAAACTTTTGTGTTAATTAGAAGAACTAAATGAACTATTTAGCAGTTTTTAATATTACAAAACTCATGAAATATTTAAGAATGTTCTAAATAGGAGAAGTAAAATGATAATTTTAACAATTGTATTTCAAGTCCATATGTTTTGCTTGTAATTTAATTACAAAGCTCTGCTTCATAAATCTAAAACAACCATGAGAGAGTTCTCCCAAAATTTAAGGGGGTTCATATCAGAGAAGAAGGTCCTGCCAGGCATTGGGGTACATGCCTATAATCCCAGCAATTTATGAAGCAGAGGTGGGAGAATCTCAAGTTCAAGTCCAGCCTCAACAATTTAATGAGAACCTGTCTCAAAAAATAAGAAGGGCTAGGGATGTGGCTCAGTGTGAAACACCCACCAGTT